AAAAAAACAAAAAAAAACTCCTTGCGTGGCATAACGTTCAATTCAGATGAGTCTGTAAATCAGCACCTTGTTCAGTTTTTCGCAAATAAAGACAGGTCCTTCTATAAACGAGGAATTACGAAGCTCACTGAAAGATGGCAAAAATTTACCAAACAAAACAGGCAATATATCATTGATTGATCTTTGTTCTTTATATAAATAAATGACCTTTGAAAAACATAAATAAAATACGTCATGACTTTTTCGACAACCCAATACAATCATTTGCCCCATTTTTACATATCCTTTACATTTTCCTTAGTATAGGTCAAATTCACAGTAGTGAATCAGATGTCCAAAGTGTTTTAATTCTATTATTATAAATCTTAAAGGACCAAAATGAGAATTGAAAAACAATTTTTAAGCAAGTAATTGATGGAAGCTTTAAAAATATGATTCTAGTCTGTATAAACATTTAAAGTTTTATTTTGAAGATCTTACAATATGTAACTATATAAAATGGAGCAACAGCATAATGTAGTAGTTCCATTGTTCAAACTTCACTGAAATTGGCATGATTTAACAATGTTATTCTAATTCCAGTCTTTCTGATCTATTAGCTTTCAACAAATAAGGCAAAATACTTAAATTTAAAGAAAAATTTTACCTAAATAAAGTTGATCTTTAGAGTTAATGTTTTCTAAACTGCTTTTGAAAACAGTTAAGTAGGCAGCTCTACAATTCCTATAAAATACCTCCTCTTCAGTTAGTGGACATTTCTTTGTTCGAGGACTCTCTGAAAGCATTGATGTCTGACTGGAGAAAGCTGCATCACTTCTGGGACTGATGGCCATTCTATCAGAAAATAATTTTAAAAATTAGTTTAGTATAGTTTAATCCCCTAAAATGCAAATGTCACACTGCATTTCAAATTGGGAGGTAGGAGGGAATCAAGAAATTAAAATTTTATATGTGGATTAAAAAAAAAGATGAACATTATAATAAGCTTAAGGTTGTATATTATGTTAAACAGAAAAAGGTTTTGACAGTTGATTTCTAAATATAAACATAAATATAAATAAAAAAATAAATAAAAGAACGAATCCAAAACAAAGATGTAACATAAATACAAAAGTCATACAGCAAAGGAGAAATACACATCTATTCTCAAAATAAGAGGACAGTGAGACTCTTCATAGAGTTGTCATGAGAATTAGATAAGCTAATACATGTGAAGCATATAGAACAGCACTTGACACAAATTAAGTACTAAATAAACTGTAGATAGAGTAAAACTCCACAAGAAGAACGTGTATATAATGTGATTGGCAGATGGCATCCATCTCCACAGCAGCATCAACCAGGTCATTTCATTAACATCTCAATAATGCAGCCCCACGTTTTAAATGACAGAATTTTAAAAATCCCATTTATAACATTATCATGAGATTTTACTGTGTTCCATTACTAATAATAATGTTTTGGGTTTATATAGCACCTCTGCTAATAAGAGCTTAAAGAACTGTCATACATCATGATTTATCCCTACTACAGTGGTCAGGTATTATTTTTTGCCCATTTTACAGATGAGGAAGTTGAAGGACAGTGTTGCCAAGCTAATAGGAAGGAGCAAAAGGCAGTAAATTTAGAAAACAGTTTCTTCTTTATTAATGTGAATGAAGGCGTCTTGTACAATAGTTACAATGAGGCACCAAATTGTGCTGGTGGTCTAAAGGCTTCTAACATTATTTTACCCAGGTTTGACTTTTAAAAATACAGTCCAGCCTAATAAATTTAATATTTCAAGTTCAACAATAAGACGACACAGGTAGGGTCCCCTTCAGGACTCATTGGATTCTTACTCAAGAGGCCTAAATCACTTGCACCTTCTTGAATTATATAGGTCTTTTACACTTGGGAAAGAAAGATAATAATCGCTTATCATGGATGAAGTACCCTATTTATAATACACAGACCGCCTGCCTGACACTTTCATATTACACCAGATTTAGAAGGACCCCCATAGGGATGTAGAGTCACAGTCTGGTTACTGCAAATTGGTGTCACTATAATTAAGCATCTGAGTTTTAAACACATATGCGTGCAAGCATCTCCTCAAAAATGTGAAAGAAAACCGTTCCAGTAGAAAGAGGTAATGAATGTACATTTTGCAGCAAGCAATTTTAAAATTAAGTATTTTTTTAGGGTCGTCTTCGAATACTCTTTCCAAATAAGGTGACTCTCTCACGTGAAAATCCCACGGCAGAAATGTTCCAGAATTCTATTCTTTCCCTTTCTATGACAAGAGACTAAACTGAAGCTTAAATAAATATATAATTGTACCCCCTCAGGCTTGGAAACCTCCTTCATTTAAAACTCCAGCCCGAGACTCAGACAGGGGCCTAGAGAGTATATTGCAGCAAACGGCTCCATAAATAACCAACCACATAATAGCAAGAAAAATAAACTAACAAGCGCCTAGGGCTTTTAAAGGGCCAAGTGAAACCAGCTAGCCAGCCATCCAGCCACCGTCCCCATACAGTGAAATATGTTCACAGCTGATCTCTCTATTTCTGTAGTTCTCTGGGCAGAAAACTGCATTTATATGCACATTTTAAGTACCTACATGGACCAAGTGTTAGTATGACCGAGAAGTAAAAGAAGAAGGTGGGAGAAATGGAAGCCGCACAGAAAGGGACAGAACGAGCAAAGCGAGACAGAGAGCTGATTGCTACCTAATTCCAGCTCCCAAACGAGGAAGCGAAGCCAGTTCCCCGCACGGATTCCACAATCCGCTCACCGCAGCCCGGCGGACCTCAACCTTTCTTTAATTACCATGGCAACTGAACGTCCCTGCCACCGGAAATAAGATACAGAGCACCTCCCTAAGTGGTCCGGCTAGAAATATACGATGGTTAACCCACAGCGAACAGAGACGCTTCTAGCGCTCCTCTATCGGGGGCTGTTATAGCCAGAGTCGTGAGAGAGGGTCCTGTGTTGCACTAGCAAGGGTCATGATGCCGTTCTAGACAGCGACTCCCTTTCTCCTGTCCCCGCATGCACTCGGATCCCTTGTCGCGAAGACGATATTTCTGGTGGGCCTCATTGAGTGTGACACGGCGTCGGGCGCCCGTAGGCCCGCGCTATTCAGGCTTCTGCGTTTCCCACGGAAGGTTGGTTTCGGAAGAGGTTGCTCAGTTCATTTTATCCCGCGGCGGTGGTGCTTCTCTGAATGGCGAAATGCCGCAGGTATCTCCTCCCCNTTACTTTCTTGCTTACTTTTACATATTTCCTTGGACTTCTTAGGTCAACCTAGGACCTAAACTAGAAACCTTTAAGTCTGAACATTTAGTTTTTTTCTCTAGGAATTAGCCATCAGTAATAAAGCAAAAATATTTTGAACAGTGAATAACAGCATAGCATTTGTTTCCTTCTGAAAGGTAGTATAGCATCTTAACAGCATTTGAATGAAAACAAAGGATGAAAAAATACCATACTTTGTACTTTTAGTTTCTGATTCCTACTTTTGAAGTTTTATAAAATGCCAAAACATCTCACACACCTGAATAGGGTAATACATATTCATAACTAAATATAAATGCTTTGGGGGGATTATCTGCCATTTTTATTTGTTCATACCACTATTTTATTGCCTCATTGAGAATTAATATTCAGTTGATTTCAAATGGACTTCTAAAAGATAAAACTAATTCTTTAAATGAATTTAATTAATCTCAAGAAATAATGTGATAGGCTAATGTAGATATGAAAGCAAAATTAAGTGAACCCTTTTTAGATAAATTTTTGTATTTAATATTTACTGCTCAGTAATTTTTATAAATTATATATCTCTTTTATTTTTTTCTTGCTCCTGTTACTGTGTGAAAGTCAATAGTCAATTTTTATGAATAGCCATTTATAGAATGTATAAGTTTTGTTTGTTTTCTATACTGCAACCTTTATAACACAATTTTTTTTTCTTTTTCCTAATGCTCGAATTCTCTAATATTTTAAATAACAATTTCTATTTCTCAGTGATCAAAAAAGTACTTTTAAATGCTGTATTTGTCACTGGGAAAACTAGTTTTAATTTATATTGACCTTTTTCTCCTTTGAGCATTTAGTCTGCATTCAATAAAATGTTGATGACTGCTCTTTAGAAGACAGCTCTATGAAATAAAGTATTATAAATATTCAGCTTTCCTTTCTAAGCATTGTCACCAACAGCTGGGTATCCAGTTTAGCAGAACAGATTTTTCACACACAGAGCCTGGCATGTTCCTGAATCAGTTTAGTGAAGGAGACAAAAAATAGTTTCATGTGGATTGGGGACTTATAAAGACATAGAGCATCTGTTCCTCGGTTAAGTCATAGTCTGGTAGCACTGAATCATGTTTAAAGCTAGAATAACGTGCAAAACTTTTTTCACCTTGCTCATACCTTTATTTTAATACTTAGTGCATTATTTGTGCAAACAATATACTTTCAACATCTCCACTGAAGGTATGTAAATTATTTTGATCTAATGTATAATTTATTATTAGTGGTATTTTAGAACATACAAATAGAGTAATTTTTACGAAGATTATTTTATAATATGACTGTAAAGATTGAATTGTATGATAGTGCATATATATATAAAACCACATATGCATAAAAAGATCCACTTAAATATTTAATTATGATTCTATCTTGAGATATGCTCTTCTTAAAAAGCAGTTTCATCATTGTGAAAATTGCTTTCTTCATATGATATTCTACTGTACTTGATGAAAGTACTTAGAATCTTTGTTTATATATATATTACTCTTAAATATTTGGCTACTGAAAGCATATCAAATCTAAGTTTTCTCTAAATGTTTTGTTTACAGTGTTAGAAGATCACTGAAATGGGATGGTCTGTTAGAAGNATAAAGCCCTTTAGTGGCTACATGAGTCTGGTGAGTTTGTATAAACTTCTGAGACAACTCAAGGACTGGCTCAGACCTGGTTTCCAGCTCTCAAACGAGAAAGGGTAGCGTATTCTGGGCTTCCGTTTTCATATTGCTGCCGTATAGAAAATTTAAGTTCAGTAAAGAAGTTTTTCTTTGGGATGGGGCGATTAATGTCTAACACGTGAAATTCTCTGGTTGTCCCTTGTTCCCAGGTTGACTTAGGTACCCCCATCCTGTGCATCTCTAGAGTAACTTATTTCTCTGTTGTTTTAAAAAATACCAAGTAACACAGTGGGGTAAACTGAATCATTAAAAAGCGCTTTAAGAGGTAGGGGCTGCTATAATCTCTACCTTCCAGATAAGGAAACTCAGTGCTTAATATAGTGTCTTACACACAGGTGTCAATAAATATGTGTTTCACTTATATCCTTAGAAAGTTATGGATTATCGAAGAGGTTTTCCTTTCCCCAGAATTAAGCAAAAAGACTTATCTCCCTACTGTTACACTAGAAAAAAGCCCAGTTAGCACTTTTGTGAAGCTGCAACAAGGATAATATAGCAAACTCCCTGATAAGTAGAAATACAATGGAAACTGGCATGTATTTGGTTAGTAAGTGGTGATGCTTCCTGAGCTATGATCCTGTTCTGATACAGGTAGTGGGGAACCAAAATATTAAAAGTAGAACTTTTGGACAACTGGTTTTTTAACATATTAACAGGTACATGTTATATTAGGAGAGGCTGCAGTAAATTTATTCTGACAATAAATACATGACCTTAAAGTTGAGGTTGACATCACAGGGCATATATCCAACATAGGATTTATATTTAGAATATATAATAAAGAACTCTTACAACTCAGCAGTAAAAGTACAAAAGCCTTATTAAAATAATGGCTCAGGGCCGACTGAGTGGCGCGTTGGTTAAGAACTGGCTTGGGACTCCAGAGGGCCCTGGTTCGGATCCCACATATGAGGGCCAGTGACACTGCCCTCTACAGCTAAGATGCTGAACAACAGCTCAACCTGGA